GGGGGGGACTAGATAATTTATAAAGAAAAAGAGGTTTAATTATTCTAAGTGAAGTAACTCAGGAATAGAAAGCCAAATAGCATATGTTCTCACTTATGAGAGGGTGCTAAGCTGTGAGGATGCAAATGTATAATAATGATAATAATGGACTTTGGGGACTTGAGGGGAAGGGTAGGAAGGAAGTGAAGAACAAAAGACTACACATCGGATACAGTGTATACTGTTCGGGTGACAGGTGCACCAAAATCTCAGAAATCACCACTAGACAACTTACCTATATAACCTAAAACCACCTGTTCCCCCAAAACTATTGAAATAATATTTTTAGAAAAGAGGTTTATTTGGCTCACAATTCAAACGGTTAGAAAGTTCACAATTGGACGTCTGCATCTGGTGAGGGTCTCAGGTTGCTTCTCTTCACAGTGGGAAGTAAAGGGGAGCTGGCCTGTGCAGAGATCCCATGGTGAGAGAGGAAGGGGGAGAGTGGGGGAGGTGCCGGGATCTTTTTTTTTCTTTTAAGACTGGGTCTTGCTCTGTTGCTTAGGCTAGAGTGCAGCGATGCCATCACAGCTCACTGCAATCTCAAGTACCTGGACTCAAGTGATCCTCCTGCCTCAGCCTCCCAAGTAGCTGGGACTACAGGTGCATGCCACCATGCCTGGCTATCCAGCCCCTTTTTAAACAACCAGCTCTGATAGGCATTAATAGAGTAAGAACTCACTTGCCCCTGAGGGAGGGCATTAATGTATTCATGAGGGATCCAGCTTCATGACCCGAACACCTCCCATTAGGCCACACCTCCAACACTGGGGATTAAATTCAACATGAGATTTGGATGGGACAAATATCCAAACCATAGCAATGAGGATAGAAGCAAGAGATTGGAGTGACAGCATGAAGGAGCCATGAGCCAAGGAATGCTGGCAGCTTGAAGCTGAAAAAGGCAAGGAAACCAATTTTTCCCTCAGACCTCCAGAAAGAAACAGTCTGGCAAGACTGGCCTGAATTTAGCCCACTGAGCCTTATTTTTGACTTCTGAGCTCCAGAACTGTAATGTGACAAATCTGTGTTTTAAGCTATCATGTTTGTGATAATTTGCTACAGCAACCAAAGGAAACTTAATACAGTACCCAAATGTCCTGCTCTCCAGAGGCACTCAGAGTGCAGTGTAGTACTGAGGGAATGTGTCCATCTGCCTGGCAGGTGCAGTAAGTGAAGGGTAATTGAAAGCACTCCTGCAATTAATCTGGGACTGTATTTTTTTCACTAGTTCTTTCATATGTCTGACTAGACAGATGGCAAATTCTTCAAGGGCATCAACATGAACTTTTGCTGACTTTGCATTTTGAGAGAGCATTTTAAGAGGGCAACTGATCACTTGAGGTATTTA